TGTTGTTGTTGTTGTTGTTGTCAGTGTGTTATCATGTTGTGCTGTGGTCCAGTGTGTCCACAGACGATGTGTGTGAGGGTGGCCATGTTTGGAGGTTGCTGTGTTGAAGCTCCATGGATCAGCCTCTCTGCAGCTCTCAGCACCTTCACTGAGCTGCTCTTGTTCTTCACAGGTAGAAGGTGGGAGCTCTCGTCAAATCATCATCTCCAGCATCATCTTGTTCATGCCAGGCTGTTCATCCACTGACCACACACACCTGCAAACATCAGGGGACCAGTTTAACACATCTGGAAGGAAACCAGTGAGATTTAATATGACCAGTATGATATGATGTTATGTGGGGGAGTGGTGGAGCAGAGGTTACAAGATGGGCCTGTGATGGGAAAGTCACAGGTTCAACTCCCGGTACCATCAACATCAAAATGAGGTGGAAAAGGTGAAACACCCACACCTGCCTCCACCCTCATTGGCCCCACCCTGGTCCCTTGAGCAAGGCACTCAACCCCCACCACCTGCTCCTAAACAGGTCTCTCTTTAAAATGAGTTCTCGTGACTCAGTGAGTCCATCCATCCATCCATCCATCCATCCATTTTCTTTACCCGTTTATTCCATTTTGGGTCACGGGGGTCGCTGGTGCCCATGTCCAGCAATCACTGTGCGAGGGGCGGGGGACACCCTGGACGGGTTGCAAGTCCATCACAGGGCCACACAGAGACAAACGAGACAAACAACCATTCAGTCTCTCACTCACACCTAGGGACAATTTTAGAGTTACCAATCAGCCTAACATGCATGTTTTTGGACTGTGGGAGGAAACCGGAGTACCCGGAGAAAACCCACGCATGCACGGAGAGAACATGCAAACTCCACCCAGAAAGGCCCCTGGACCGGGGTTTGAGACTCAGTGAGTCGACCTGGATAAATAAAGATAAATGAAAAATAAAGTTTAAAATAGAAATACTCACATCATGAGGCCGAGGTTGTGTGTGTGACGTGCACGTTCCTGAGAGTGTGTGTGTGTGACGTGCACGTTCCTGAGAGTGTGTGTGTGTGACGTGCACGTTCCTGAGGTTGTGTGTGTGACGTGCACGTTCCTGAGGTTGTGTGTGTGACGTGCACGTTCCTGAGAGTGTGTGTGTGACGTGCACGTTCCTGAGGTTGTGTGTGTGACGTGCACGTTCCTGAGGTTGTGTGTGTGACGTGCACGTTCCTGAGAGTGTGTGTGTGACGTGCACGTTCCTGAGGTTGTGTGTGTGACGTGCACGTTCCTGAGGTTGTGTGTGTGACGTGCACGTTCCTGAGAGTGTGTGTGTGACGTGCACGTTCCTG